GGTCTCTCTCATTTACTGCCTACGGCTAAGTATATGCATCATACTCCTGGCACCTCTAACTTTCTGTATGCTTCAGTGCACCTTTGGCTTCTCTATCACAGCTTCACACATTGCTTTCTTGAGGACTCATTTGAAATCTAGGTAGAATTCTCCATGATCCCTCAACTCTATCATTCAATGACTTGTAAAATTAACACAATGTGAATTACAAAAAAATTCAACATTTGGCTGAGAAGTAATGTTTTCTTTGAGGACCATAGCATAAGTAAGACCTGAGGTCCTAGATGGCTGGGTAAAATGACATAAATTCCAGCGAACCATTTTTGTAGAAGACCCCTTTGAGCAAGAATCCCATGGACTCTCTTCTCAAATAAACCTCTACAGTTTTGTATCAAGAAGTGTAGGATGTTAATAGCTATCAAGATGCCTGAATTCCACTTTTTCTTTAGTCCCTATGCAAAGTACTTATTTCTTTTTAATGTTAATCTTTTCAGCAACCACCACTCTCTTTGACTCGAACTATACAGGCCCTTCTGTTCTAGTAAGGCTCAGTGTTCTAGGTCATTAGTCTGATCCTTCATCTTATCCTGATTCTAGCACTAATCGGGTTCACAACTTCCAGAAATACCCATGTCACAGTCTAAATCTCAGCTATTTTAAAATTTCCTCTATCAGATAAATAGATTCAACATCCATAATCTCAGTCCCTACAAAGTCTTAGGACATGGAAAAAATGAAGACAAGATTTTTTTGCCAGGATAACACACATATGTTCTAGTATCACTATAAATGGCATTTTTGTTCCTGTGTTAAACTTCCTGAGCTAAGCCTTTGTCCAATCCTAACGGCATTCTGATCTTCTGAATTATGAGCAGAACATACCATGAATTTCTTCCTACTCTACTTGCAGTATTCTAAAATTTCTTTAGCTGATATCTCCAAACCTTTCCAAACCAATCAAGAAAGTCAATTTCAAAGGCCACTGAAACATGCATTGAGCTACAGTGATAGAAATATATCTGTACTGCACCTAACAATTTTCTGTGTTTTCCACCTTTCCACTACTAGAACTAAATAGCCAAACCTACATCTTAAAGGTGCAGAGGATATTTGGGCTCACAGTTTAATTGGATGTAATCCATGTTTGGCTGGCTCCAAGGTAAAACTATGGCAGAATGGCATGGTGGGAGAAAACTGTCCACCACAGAGAGGTCAGGATTAGAGAAAAAGGTGAAGAAAGAAGAAAAAGAATATACTTCTCCAAGTCAGAGGCTCAGACCATCTGACCAGGGTCATCTAAGAACATCAGTCCTTGGGGGAGTCATTTTAGACATAAACCATAAAGTAAAGCATGAAAACTGGTGTACTATTCAGGTAGTAGTCATGCTTTACTCTACATTTTCATCATCTGAAACGCAATTTCCTCTAATTACATTTCATTGTTCTAAAGACTTGAACCCTTCATCATGGATTGAATATAGGAGCTGTGAAAATATTTTTCCATATATACAGTTAGAGTTTGACTGAGTGTGGAATGCATGTAGGATCAGAAAAACTACTTCTATCCTAAAAGAACACAATGTAAAGATAGTTACCAGGAAGTCCAGAAGACTGTACCTAAAGGAAAGTATGAGGGAATTCAGGTGTTTTCTTTTAGCAAAGAATTGACTCCAGGGCAAATCCCTAAACTCATGCTA